TGTTTTCATGTAGATCAGGATGTAAGATTTTGGGAAAGCGTAGAGAGGCGCAAGCTTAGCCAGAGTGAACTTCAATCTTGGATGTAAAGAGCATGCTAGAATTCAGGAGCGCGACGGAGAGTCCCTAGCTACATCGGAAAGAAAGAGGGGCGCAAGCAATCAAGCAGGGTTATAGGATGTAGTTGACTTTGTCCCAAAGAGTCCGGCCGGTGCAGCAAACAAGGTGCATTATACGCGAGTTTTATACCCAGACCCCCTAAAGGATCCAAAAAATGGAACCCCCCCAATATGAACCCATTACTACATTGGGGAAACTAGGGGATTATTAGGAGGTTCTACTTTTTGGATCCTTTAGGGGGGCCTGGGTAACCGATGAATTTTATTGGGTCCTGCACGGGGCAAGTCGATGCATGAGGCGCCGGCAGGGCAACTTCGAGAAATGCACCCTTCCTTCTCAACAGCCCACCTGGGAGCGAGAAGTGGGTGTCGGCCTCGTTGTAGACTCGAAGTGGTAGTTTCCAAAAATGGGGGGACCCCAACATAGACCCCAAAATACTATGGTGGGGAGCCTCAAAAGGGTACCCCTAATTTTGGGAACCCCCAAACCCTAAACCCTAAATAGTAGTTTCCATTTTTTCATTACCCCAATATAACCCCAATATACTATATAGCAGTTTCAATTTCCTTTTCCATTCTCCCAATCTATAACCCCAATATAATCCCCATGAACCCCCAAATTGGGTACCCCTATATGGTAGTTTCCCAAAATAAGGGGACCCCAATATAGGTCCAAAAATATTATGATCCTTATTATTGGGACCCCTGAAAAAGGTACCCCTAATTTTGGGAAATCCCCATATAACCTGTGTGTCTTTGACTTGCAATGCGGTGGTGCCTTTCATCCAAGGCTACGTTGACTGCGGCTGCGGCCAGGTGGCCTGCGGGCACTGGCCTTCAGGCCGGCCTTGCAAGGCCGGGTTTAGGGTTTAGGGTTTAGGGTTTGTATGAAAAACCCATTGGGGAAACCATATTAGCTCTAGTCTAAACTCCTTAAAGGGGGGTCTATATAGGGGATTATATAGGGAATTACTATAGGGCTTCTTAAGGGGGATACTAGGAGTTTAGACTATAGCTCGTATTAGTTGGGTCATTCCCCCACCCAGTAACTGTCCTTAAAGGGGACCTTATTAAGGGGCTATTATAACTCCTATTACCCCTTGTGGGAACTGTTACTGTAAGGGGGAATGACCCAACATATTAGTTACTATATATACACATGTTGGTAACCCTAAACCCTAGATATAGATATATACTATACACACCCATTATAGATATATGTAACCCTAAACCCTATAAACCATGTATTATACATATATACATATACACCCCGTATGGTAACTTAAACCCTAAACCCTGAACCCTATATAACCCCATTATAGTAGTTTCCATTTTCTTTTCCATTATCCCTATATATACCCATTATGGTAGCTTAACTTAAGTTCCTTAACAGCAACCCAGCAGGCTGGAGATCTGCCGCCGCTGCCTGGCAGCGAGGGCGGCAAGGCAAGGCCCGTGACAACCTTCTCCTGGGTTGTTTTTTAGGAGCTTCCAAAATGGGTATAAATATATATATATGTGTATAGTAAGTAATATGGGTTTCCCCAATATAGTAACTCAAATTCGTATCTTGCTATGTCTTGTCTGGGTTGCTGTTAAGGAACTTAAGTTGTTATGGTATAATTTGGGGTTTAGGGTTAAGGCACTTAGATCAAGTTAACCATATTATCCCCTATAATGGAGAATCAAATGGAAAAGAACATGGAAAATGAAATGGAAACTGCGGGGATATAGGGGTTTAGGAATTTCAATTAAGTTAGCCATAATATGGGTATATAGTCAATAATAGGGTTTCCATAGTATGGCAACTTGACTTAAGTTCCGCTAGGCTCACGGCCTGGGACTCTTCGTGGCGCCACCGCCGGAGGCGTCCCAATGTAGCTGTATCTTTGGGTCATACAGGGATTATATAGGTATAGGTTATATTGGGGTAGGGTTGCTATTTGTGCCTGAGTTCAAAGGCGCGCGCGCGAGGGGGGTCCATTGCATCTTGTTGAAGCCGCAGTACTGTGTGAGGCTCCAAAGCCCGCGTGGGCAAGGAGCATCAACCAGCGAGAAGGAGATGGTTTTTCATGGTTTGGTGTTTGCTTTCGGCCGGGGTCTATGCTTCTAGGATTTTGACAAGCAGTAGAGACTCTGCTTTGGTGTGAGCTGCAGAAGAGGGGCGAAGAACTGTCGCTTCCGGCTCGTACCGACTTCGTTCCTTTGCAGATGACCACTAAAACACGTATCACTGCATGACCCATCGGATTGCAGAAGTTATTGGATGCACCCCCGTCTCTGCGCAGTACCTGCCGGAGAGAACATCTGAGCCGAGCTCCACATAGATTTGCCAAGCAACCTCCTCCAGCGGTGAGGAGGGACGCACACCGCAAGATGCCACGCTGCTTTGGGGGGCGCTATTTAAACAGACTCGCGTGGAAAGCAAGTAGAACTACTTGGCTTTCCTTGTCCGAGGAGCTATTTTCAACGTGCCTGATGTGCAAAACAAACACTATACCATTGCCTGTACAGTTGTTGCACACATACATAACCCTAAATTCTAAACCCGAAATAAGGACATGGAAGGGCATATTTTTTGATGCGCTTCTGCACATCGGCTGCCTGGTCCTTTTGGATCTTCGGGCGGAATCTTTGTAATTTTGAAGTTGGGAGCCGCGCTGGCTTGCCGCATCATCACGATGGCTTCATAAGGGTTTAGGGTTTAAGGGTTTAGGCTTTAGGGTTCAAGGGTTTAGGGTTTAGGGCAAGAGTATGGAGGGTACACTTGAACATTTGCCTTGAGACGCTGCAGGCCCGCCTTTCAGACATCCAGGCATTAAGATGTATAGTCCCCCTTAAGTGGACAGAATCCAGCTTAAGGGATAGTATAGTAAGATCCCCATATACCCCATATTCTATCTACTTAAGGGGGACTATACCAGCGCGCCATTTCGTGATCGGACGGAAGTCAGATGCATCAGAGTGTCAAACGAATCCATTTAGGAGTAGCGATGCCCCGGCTTTGTCGGGAAATCTGCCATTGTTAGATACAGACGGTGGCCAGTCAACTGCTATACTATATTACTATTACTTTTGCTATTACCATCTAGGATTACTGTTACTAGTTCTATTACTATTACTATCATTGTCATTAGTACTATTAGTAAGTAGTATTAGCAGAATTGAGGCTTGGAGGATGCCAGCCTTGCCATAGGCTGTGGGATGACTGCACTGTCTAGCATTGATAGGTCACCTTGCCAAAGTGTGGAGGGTACATTTGGGGGTTTCCCATAATTACCGGTACCTTTTTAGGGGTTGCCAGAATAAGGATTCTACGCTGCAAAGCAGCCTTGGCCAGAAACCGCTGCAAGCATCATACATCCAGTCTGTAGACATTTCGCAAGACGCTAGTGTCACTGAAGCGGTCAGCAGCTGTCTCTCGCCGTCAGGATTAGGATGAAATCGTTTGTGCTTCATGCGGGCTTGTGGCTGCTGTACATGGAGATTCGTGCCAGTCGCATCGGCCTGCCGGGGTTTGATCTACAGTGAGAGAGGATGACAGCTGCAAAGCCGGTCTAACAGAAGACAGGCATCAGTCAAGCCTTAGATTAGCGACATCATGTGTTGCCAGACAGACAGTTTTGTGTATGTATTTGCCAGCACCAATACCTGAAGACCTTTACACTACGTTATGCCAACAGATTTTTGCATTTGCGGTAGACAGCCCCTTGTTTTTCGCGCCCGGTGCTGGAACCGCTTCAGTACTGAGAACCGCCTGCTTTACTTTGGCCAAGGCATGTTTGCGCCCTGGCGTTATCGTCACACCGCTGTTTGAGTTATCTCATCGCAGCACTGTCGAGCGTGGTAAGTGCTGGAACCAGTCGCCATCAGAGCCCTGCCGGCACGACCGCGATCTCGAGAAGGGCATACCTAGGTGTTGAAAGAAGCGTTGCAGCTGCATCCTCATGCTGACTATATGTATTGCTGGCACCTTGATGTAGAAGGACGAAACGACAAGTGCGGCGCAAGCTTTCCTCATGTAACATTCCGCAGTCTTGCTGGCTTAGGGCACGCCGCAGTTCCACAAGGCCCTCACCCCTCACCCACTTCCACCCAGACCGACCTCCAATACCCACAAGCATCCACAAACCATCAGCCACCTTTCCCGCTGTTCCAGTTTCATGGCCCCGGCCTCAGAAATTTCGGCAGAGTACCTCCCCCAAACTCATCGCTGCCGTGCATCTGCCTTGCCTCTCTTAAGCAGAACACATAAACAAGGAAGGCCTGCATCCTTTGCTGGAGTAAATCAATTGTCAGCTCACACGGGGGGGAATGGGTGGCCTTTACTTTCAGGCTGGTTTGCTGCTTTGCTTGCCTTGGCAGGCCCTAAACCCTAAACCCCTAAGCCCTAAACCCTAAGGAGGGGCAGGTCTGAGAAGCGGCAACTTAGCCGAGCCCATTTGGTTGTTTCACACGCCACTCCGTTGCGGAGATTTTGGTTCCATGCTGCAGAAGCAGGTCGCATGTTCCGCAGATGATAAACCATAATATAGTATAGTATACCATAATATATTATCATATACCATAATATACTATAATCAACATCAAAACGTTGGTACTTGTAAATACTGGCAAATTTCAGCTGGCTTGCTCGACCGCTTCACAAGGTCGCGTGGACGTGTCGAGGTTTTGAGTGCTGCTCAGCTGGAACAGCATGGAACATGTGGACTCTGACTGGATGCTCCCACGCAGCTCCTCACCGTTCAACTGCAATAGCGCAACAGTTGCCAACTCCAATTTTGAAGGAGCGCGGTGCAAGAAGTGGCTGGTCGCACTCCCAGTAAAATGAATCCCCTAGAGAGCCGCTTTTGCTCATTCACCAAAGTTTTCAGCCAGGGGCAATGCCGCCAGCGGTGCTAGCCAGGCAACGGCATGAATGCACTGCCCTTCCTCTTCAAGTTTCTTGGTCGTCACTGCTTGCGCAAGGCCGCTGACACGAGAAGCCGCTCGGAAGGCAGGTGTTGGACTCGCGCAGCAGGCGCCTCTCAAAAAAGGGCGGGTTAAATAAAGTTGACTACTGCTGTGCCACTTCGAGCGATCAGGCTGCAAAAGTCTACAGAGCCGTCCTTCAGGGACCCGAGGCTGAGCCAGCTGGCTATGGCCCGTCACCCAGACTTGATCTTGAGGATGATGACGTATAGAAGGGTACTATAGGGGTAGTATAAGGATAATACAGGGGTAATGCCGAGGTAGCCTCACAAACTCCAGTGACAGATGCCGGACATCGCCCACAAAATTGGACATATTCCAAGTGGACTGAGGCGTTGAAGTCCCGCGGTTCGTGCAGGTGTGGTGCTTTGCTTGGGCCATGTTGGCAGCGCTGATCATAGGCTCCCAGATGCTATAGTCCCCCTTACGAAAATAGAATATGGGGTATATGGGGATCTTATTCAAATATACCCAAAGCCATATTCTATCTACTTAAGGGGGACTATATCTTCTCGGTCGTCCAGGCTCTTCCTTACCTTACCCATGAACAGCTGGTACAATGCTCAAGCCACTTCGGCCAGTCTGGAGCTCGGGAAGGGTGGGTTCACTAGCGGGTTTCGGTCATGCATCTCAGTCTCCTCCATGGTTTTTGTAGTTCGTTTGGTGCATGATGGGCTTGGCTTTTCTTCAAGTTTCATTCCGCGAAGCGTGCGCCGCAGGGCACGGACAGCATTTGCATAACGTAGGAGCTGAGTAGCACAAAACAGCTCTGCGCCCTGGGTCCTCTCACATTGCCTGACATGCTCAATGTGAAGCCGTGAAAGCCCAAGCATTTTTTCGCAGACATGGTTTGTGAACTGGCCTTGTATCAACATAGGGCAGTTGGATTCCTTGTGACAGGGACTTTCAGTTGTTTGTGCAATCTGTCTCCTTGCAAGTGACTGCTGTGGCTTCTACAGGAGTGCAGTTGTTTCGTCAGCCACAACCCAGTGCAGAAAAAGTCAACTGAGAACTGCTTAGGGAGGTCTAGGCAAACAGGTTCGAGGATCTTGCTGCAAGTTTGGGCGTGCAGCTTTCCCTCAAAAAAGATGAGGGGATTTCCCAGAATTAGGGGACATTTTTTTGGGGTCCCCATAATAAGGACTCTAGTATTTTGAGGTCTATATTAGGGTCCCCCTATTTTAGGAAACTTCCATGAGCATACCCTTAAGGGTTCCTGGAATCCCCCTAACAGGCCTAAGGGCCCATATTAGGGGCCCATACTTCTACCTTGGGTACTGCCCCCCCCTCAGTAACAGTTGGAGAATATTTATACTATTGTTTTATGTAGCCCTTAATAGGACCCCTAATATAGACTGTTACTGGGTGGGGGCCCATACTTCTACCCTGAGCAAACTGGGTTGCTGTTAAGGAACTTAAATTAAGTTACCATAATGGGTATATATAGTAAATAACAGGGTTCCCCAATGTAGTAACTTAATTTAAGTTCCTTAACAGCAACCCAGCAAAAGAAGAGCAGCTGCAGGCGCGGCCGGGCAGTGGGTAGCGTAGCCTCAGCTGTGGCCTCGGAAATCTCCTGGCGAGTGAGACCGCAAGGAGGCACGGACCTTAATTCACATATGAGTCGTATTTTATTTGGGGATACTATGGTATCCCAATACAGAGTAAGATTATATCCTCCTTTTGGGTATAGTGTTTTATATAAGGAATATTACCTTACTAGGTTCAACCACCAAAAAACATTGCTCATATGAGCTATAGTCTACACTCCTTAAAGGGGGACATATAGGGGGTTATATATGGGAACTCTATAGGGGTTATTAAGGGGGATTCTAGGAGCTTAGAGTATAGCTCATATATGGGAGTTTCCTAAACTTGGGGGTACCCAATTTCGGGGGTTCATAAGGGGTTATAAAGGGGTAATGGAAAAGAAGATGGAAGCTACTGTTTAGGGTTCCCCAAAATTAGGGTACCTCTTTGGGCGTACCAAGAGGTAAGGATTATAGTATATGAGGGTCTATATTGGGGTCCCCCTTATTTTGGGAAACTACCATATATACCCTATATTGCCCTATATCACCCTATGAAACTATAGCAGTTTCTATTTTCTTTTCTACTATCCCTCTATAACCCCAACAAAGTATAGTATACAAACAGCAGATTCAGCGGATCTCAGCAGGCAACTGTTGCAGTGGTCCAAGCGGATGCAGCTTGCCATGTTCGATGTTCCGGCTGTGTCAGGAGAGGCTTTGGAGGACATGGAGGACTCCGTCCCCAGCAGACTGAAGCAGAGTTGGAGGGCGGATGAAGTCCTTGCCCCAAGAAGGGCAGATTCTTGTAGCTGTATGTGGGTGGTTGTCGAAACTATGGTTATTTTTTGGGTACCCTAAATATTAGGTGCCGTAATATAATAGGGATCCAAAGGCGGACCATGATTTTGACAACCACCCATGTAGCTGTCAAGGTACAGGTGGGTGGATAGCCTAACATCATCAAAGATGTGCATGCGTCGTGCCAACAACGCGCCAAGCTGAGGTGACCACAGTGTTGTACGCCTTCTCGAAAGTTACTCCGCAGCTACCAGAGGACGCAGATTGCACAGCGTGTTGGAGTTGATGTCAAGACCAGATCGAGTCTTCGAGGCATGACGGGCACTTTGCCTTGTGTTCCCTTTTCGCAGTACCAAGTGCTCTATGAAGCGGTCAGTGATGGCTTGCTTGTTGGGCTGTGGTCTCTGAATCGCTGGGCGCTGAGAAGCATGCATGCAAAGATGGTTCGTGAGCAGCTGTTCGGCAGCCGCTTTCTCCATTGTTTATCTCTGTTTCCGCAGAGCGATAAGGAAGTCTCAAGCAGATTCCCTCGTTGCCCGTTGTATGCTTAACTTCGAGCAGTGCTAAGTGCTAAACTGAGATCTCCAATCCGTCTTGATCGCCACGGCGCTGGCGGATACGGACTGCCAGGGAACATGGGATGTTGACGACGTTCTAGGCATACTCGGGCTAGGATGCTTGGTCCAAAGTGAAACACCGCGAAACACTTGAGCAATCTTCAGCATACTGAATGCAACAACCCTCAGCCTAATAGATAACCCCCATATAAACCCTCATATTACCATAACCCTATATGAGCAGCCGCATTTATGTACGCAAGAGATTAGAAGGGTAGGCGCGTTGGTATTTTTTCATCTGGATTCAGCGTTCCTCTGGGAACGAGATAGGGGCCGTGGATTGAACGAGATAGGCCACAGTTTCCTGTGCAATACGAGCCAAGTACATATTCCAACATGGTGAACGACATCAGGCCATTTTGTCAAGCTACAACACAAGATTAAATCTAAGGCGAACCAGATGAGGGGCCGCGGATTAGAAATGCCGCATAAGGCCCAGGTATTAAAATAAAAGCCGCCGCTGATATAACCCCTATATATTCCCAGTCTGTTCCTGGAATCCAGGGTCCATTCGAAAGGAGACCCGGCTCAGCGATGCGCTGCCGGCGGTGCTGCAGCCGTTGTTGGCAGAGTTGGTTGAAAGCGCGCAGGCGCTTTCGAGAACAAGCATGTGATAGGGCTAGCCTAGCTGATATGCACAAGGCCTTGGCTAGGAACTGTGGATGGCGGCCCGACGTGTGAAAGAATGTTAGTGCAACAGGAGCTGGCTTCTTGGACACCTCTACAAGGTTCCTGAAAACATTTTTAAATTTCTGTTACCTAGAATCCTAATATTTAGCTGAAATTCTGATTCTAATTTCTACTGGGGTTCCAAATCCCTTAGAGACCTGTGCTTTACGGCGCCTGAAGCGACTGTCGAGTTGGTTCAGTTGGCTGGGATGCCCTGAGCACAGGTCCGCGAGGAGATCTCGTTGGACACCCTGCGTTTCCTGGCAAAGAGCTCGGCCTTCCCCTTTGAGTAGTATTTTATTTTATTTGGGGATACTATGGTGCAAGGAAGTTCATGCGCAAGAGCCCTCCAAAAACAATTACCATCTCCGATAATCGAGTGGGTCCTAACCTTCTTAGCAGGCGCGGAGCTTTTTACAAAGACAGCTCCAGGAATTTCAAGACATTCAGCGTTCTCCTTTTTCACTTTCCGAAAGGGATTAGGTTCGGGCAGAGAAAAGGCTGAATTCCAACACTGGCTAGATCTTTGTTGCATAGCATAAATGCAGAGTCCAAGCAGGGCAATCCTGAGGAGAAACTGCCAACACGGGTTGTTGATGCAACTCGTTCCGACGACTTTGTTCAGGCGTGCATCAAGCTGACAGGTGTGAAGGGTGAGGATGAAACGTATGATCATCATCACAAGTTCATCAAGGATGAAGGCAATGCAACAACCAATAAACATGTTCCAAAGAGGTCCATGTATTGGTGGCTGCAATTGTGGTGCAATGCTGTTGAAGCATTTCAGGCTGATTTTTGGATTGTAAGACTGTCTGACAACAGCGTACGAGGATGTGTTCCAATACACATCTTCAGCGCTCTTGTTTGCAAGCCGAAGGTTCTCCGTATCCCCTTCAGACTGGGCACATTGGCAAGCAGGATTAATTAGATTGTGTGAGGCATGCATTCGGGCATTGGCGATTGTAGGCTCCGTGGCGGAGTACGTGTGTAGCTGCAAAACCTGATTCAATGGGGACACCCACAGAAACATTCTAGATTATTTCTATTCGAGGAGCCAAAGTGCCCAACGCTGGATTCGCATGACTGACTGACGTCCGTGAATACTATGGTACCCAATATAGAGTAAGATTATATCCTCCTTTTGGGGTATAGTATGTTATATAAGGAACATAATCTTACTAGGTTCAACCACCCAAAAAAAAAACTCCTTTGAGTTCCTTCATGAGCTAGCTTTGGTCGCCAAGATCCATGCCGCTGCAAGCCTACCGAACCCGGGTCTCACGGGTAAGGAGGTGGAGGCAGGGAAGTTAGGGTTTAGGGTTTAGGGTTTAGGTTAGGTCAATCCCCCCTATAGTAATGGCTCCTTAATATACAGTTAATATGGCCTTAATATACCTACAACAGTCCCTTGTGGTATCCAATACTGGGTGGGGAATTGACCCAAGGATTAGGGTTGGAGGGGACAGCATCGAGCTGGCAGTTGTCTTTCACTGCTCTTGCCAGGCTCTGGCAGACTGCACCCTCTTGCGCCTGAATGGCAGCACCTTTGCGACGCAGGCAGCCTCTCCAAGATATAAACGCTAGCAATCCCTGAAGTAAACCAGCTGAGGTAAAGGGACCCTTGTGACAGGAGCAACCTTGATGGAACTCCAAGCACCCTCTGAAGGGGAGCTCCCATCGCTTGTGGCATTCTTTTCAATCGCTTGTGATTTTACCTGCCCCAAAAGCCCTGACCGCTAACACCCGCATCCTTAAACACATACTTTGAGAAAGCCACGATCAGCGCTAAAAAAGCAAAGGCCCTTAACGCCCTAAACCCTGGTAACCCTAAACCCAAACGCCCTAAAATATGCCCTTAAAAAATCATAAACTTTAAGTTCCGAAGCAAAAAGAACAAGCAAAACTGGGGGCGTGTGTGGGACGCATGGACAATGTGTGATGGAATGGTCCCTTTTAGCTGGTGGAGGCGCCAAGCGGTCCCACTTCATGATGCAAGTCCAGCTGCATGGGAGCACCAGAACCTCCACCCTCTGTCAGTGGGCCACCTCCTGTCCTTAAGCGCGGCTCCGGAGCGGAGGGGCATGTCTGCAAAAGCATGGGAAATGAAGAAAGGGCAGATGGTAATGACAAATCACAAACGATGGGGAGGATTTGACTTCATCCATAGGCCTGAGGGCGAGGCCGTCTCGAGGGGTGAACTCTCTAAATAGCAGATAAGGCCATTCCATGAGAATGCACATGGCACAGGCGCTGCGCCACAAGTGAGCCATAAGAAGCACAGTCTGGACGGCCTAGCAGCAGGAGCAAAAGGAGCACGTAAGACAAAAAGACTCGAAACCTGATGACCCTTAACACCCCAAATCTTGCAGTTGGCAACGTCCGAAAGCCCAAGCCTCGTGAACATGTTCACGACTCGTTTCACAGTCATCATGTGGGCTATAGTCTAAACTCCTTCTTAAAGGGGGTCATATAGGGGATTTTATGGGGGACTACTATGGGGGATATTGAGGGGGATGCTGGGATGCTAGGAGTTTAGACTATGGCTCATGTGTAAAAGCTGTCTCTTTTAAAAGCAAGTGAGGTAGTACACCTCCCAAGCAAGAGGCATTTCGGCAGGCATCTAGGAGACCTTAGTCCAACACAGAAGGACCTACGTGCTGTAATCTTTTGCAGTTTGGGGGTCAAGAGGGATGTTTACTGTACAATAACACAAGCATGCGAACATGCTGAATTTGCTGTTATTTGAAGCATTTTTCTTTCCTCCTACGACACCTCGAGTTGGAGCTGGGGGTGATGCTGGTGCTGGCGGTGAGCTGATGGTGATGATGATTGTGGGGCTGCGGGTGGCGGGAGCAGGGCAGGGGCCGCGGCTGGTGGCGTGGTGCTGCTGTTGGTGGTGGTGGTGGTGGTGGAAGCAGATGCAGAAGCAGGAGCACCAGCAGCCGGAGGAGTAGTGAAGTAGTAGGAGCAGCAGTCATTGCGTTCATACTGAGAACTATTATTGGTAGGAGTGATTTCCAACTAGCAAGCTGCAATGTTGAAGGAAAAGCCTGAGAAGTGGGTGAATAGTATCTGACGATCTCATCTGCTGCTAGGCACACATGCTGGTGTCTAGGGTTTAGGGTTTAGGGTAGTAGTTTCCATTTCCTTTTCCATTATCCCCATATAACCCCAACCCGAAACCGTAAACCCTGTATGACCCTATTATTACCCCAATCTGCTAGGCACACATGCTGGTGTCATGGTTGAGGCCTGGCCCGACATGCAGTGTACTGCCTTTGGAGGGTAGTTCCCAAAATTAGGGGTATTAGGGTTTAGGGTTACATTGGGTTGGGCCACCACCCACTAATAGTGGTCTACTAGGAATATGTACGGACCCTAAGATCATTACCTCTTGTGGTCACTATTAGTGGGTGGGGGCCCAACCTAAGGTATTGCCTCAATAACGGAGAATCAAATGGAGAAGAACATGGAAAAAGAAATGGACACTGGATAATATAGGGGCTTAAAAGTAGGGTTTAGGGTTTCCCAAAATTCAGGGTACGTTACCTTTTACGGGCTCCCTATAATTCGGGTTATGGTATTTTGGGGGGTCTATATTGGAATCAGTCCTGGTGGTGGCATGCTAGAAGTTAAGCAATTTCTACTAGCATTTGCTCATGCGACTTATTGAGCTTGTATCTCAGAGAATCCTGTTCACGGGCTGCTTCATGTTACTTCATGACCTTCAGAGCCCATATGCTAGGGTTTAGGGTTTAGGGTTTAGGGAAAACATGAGTGCGAACAGGTTGGCGCCACCGCCCTCAGCCAAAGAGGCAAGCTGTGGACAGATAATATCAATTGCTTGCAGGATGATATCATGAAGCGAGTAGCAGACACAGATTGAGACGTACGTTGAAAAATAGCAATATGGGTGGTTGTCAAAATTATGGTCTTGTTTTTGGATCCATATCATAACACGGCACCTAATATTTAGGGTACCCAAAAAGGGACCATAACTTTGACAACCACCCATATGTCAGCAGAAGATAGCAATGAAGCATCCGCCTTGAAGGCTTACTTCAAGGCCTTGCAGGCATGCTGTCAAGCGTTGCAGAAGCACAAAAAGTCGTAGCACCCTCAGGCACAGGGGTGAGTGCTGACGTCTAATCTTCAGCTGGTTGTGACAACCTCAGGCATATGCCCGCGCACCCTTTGCCGCGTGAAGGCGCGAGGACGTCATCACTGTTTTGAGCTGAGAGAAGAGAGATCTGGGCAATGGACCAGGTCTGGCACCTGTCATAGATGACGTTCTGGCGCGCGAGGTTGGGACTTAGCTCTTTCGTGCGAAGATGGCTGCGGCTGCTGGCACATCAATCACGGCAGCCGTTAGCTGGAATGAGCTGAGTCTCAGATAGAGTGCCCAGCTTTCTCGCTGCCATATAAGGCCGAGCAAAACGACAGGGCCTGAGCCTCCCATCGTCACACGCTTCTTCTTGGTGTTCCGGAGTGGACTTCTAGCAACGAGCACGCCCGCATATGCCATCATCATACGCCCTGGCTAGCCTTAACCCTAAAGTAGTAGTTTCCATTTTCTTTTGCGTTATCCCAATATAAGCCTAGTATGTACCCTATTATACTACATAGTAACTTCCATTTTCTTGTCCATTATCCCAATATAATCCCAATATATACCTTAATACAAACCCTATTATACTGCGGGAGTGACCTTTCCTCTCCCTAAACCCTGAACCCTAAAAAATAGTTTCCATTGTATTTTCCATTATCCCAATATAACCCCAATATATACCTTAATATATACCCTAATATACCCCATTATACTAAAATATATACCCTAATATACGCTATTATACTAAAATATATACCCTAATATACCCTATTATACTAGAATATATACCCTAATATACCCTATTATACTAAGTAGTAGTGACCAGTGGCTGCGAGGCTCCGCCTCTGACGCCGCCGATAATGGAGAGCATTGTGAAGGGACTTGTCGGTGGCCTAGAACCCAGACCCCCTAAAGGATCCAAAAAATGGATCCCCCCCAAATACCTATAGGGTTTATATAGGGTTATATAGGGATTTATAGGGTTTAGGAACCCAATACTACATTGGGGAAACTAGGGGATTATTAGGGGGTTCCAGTCTTTGGATCCTTTAGGGGGTCTGGGACAGCTCACCTGCGATTAGCGGGCCATAATGCGAAACAAGAGATGTGGTAGTTTCCCAAAATAGGGGGACCCCCATATAGCCCCCAAAAAGGCTATAGTCCTTATTCATGGGACCCCTACAATGGCTGCCCTTAATTTTGGGAACTACCCATGTGTGAGGTCCAAATTAGTTGGGGTTTGCTGCGCAACCAGCATTCGCAAGCGGCCAAGAGCAGGCCCGGCTAGAGGGTAAGTACTGCATGGCTGACTGGCTGCGTTGATCAAATAATCCCCTCCCCCGAATATTGACCACTTAACCCCCGCCCACCCCCCTAATTTTAAATACTCCCCATTGTGCTATATTATCGTATATTCGTATATTGGGAATATTTAACACTAGGGGGGTGGGGGGTTTAATATTAGGGGGAGGAGATTAACTGCAGCTGCCTGCAGTCTGCGCGGGCTGTCTCGGTCGAGTCATGCCGCAGCTCTCGGCGAGGAGCCTGTCCATCGATGATTGGTCCGACATCATGTCGAAACTGGTCAAGCGCCCTATGAATCAGGGGGCTTAAAAGGTGGGATAAAGCTAGGTGGGCTAAAGGATCCCCATTGTAGATTCTACTATATTGGGGCTTATTTCCTTTTACCCCACCTACCTTCATCCCACCTTTTGAGCCCAATGAATGAAGCGGCAAACCTTGGAACTTTGCGTGTGGAAGTTGAGCTCCGGCAGGTACTGTGAGTCCCACAGCATTGTGGGCAAGGCTGGAAGGGCTAGAAATAAAAACACATCCCTGGGCGGATCTAGAAAGTAGAACCCCCTTAAGGGATTCCAAAAATTACCCAATAGTAGTATAGGTTGCCAGATTTAGGGTTCTACTTTCTAGATTCTCCTAGGGGTCTGGGAACGGACCTTTCCAAACAATTGGCATGCGGGCAATCTTGAGGCGACCACTACCTCCAGCTCTTCTAGCCACACCCTCACACTGTCGCCGCCAAGCCTCTTGCCCAATTGGGCTGCCGGAGCGCTCTACCATGTGCTGCTGGGACAACTATATAGTATATTGGGGTTATATTGGGATAATGGAAAATAAAATGGAAACTACTATATAGTATGTTAGGGTTTAGGTTCAGGGTTTAGGGTATATATTGGGATTATATTGGGACAATGGAAAAGAAAATGGAAGCTACTATGTAGTATAATAGGGTATATACTAGGCTTATATTGGGATATCAGGGACATCAGAGGGTTTCCCAAAGTTAGGGGTACCATTTTGGGGGGCCCCCTAATAAGGACTATAGTATTTGGGGGTCTATATTGGGGTTCGCCTATTTTGGGAAAGTACCATCAGAGCTTTCGCATCAACGGCTGTAGTATCATTATCAAAGGGCCGTTGAAGCTTTTGGCAGGGATTTCATTCTTGGTTGGGGGCTCGCATGCCTCTTAAGTCTCAAGAATCGCCTGGTGCCAAGGCTTTGGCGAGCTCAGCGGCAACAAATTCCTAGAAACTCGCCAAAGGAGTGGGTGCAGCTATCCTCGCTACGTGCCCTGCTGACTTTGTTGAGACGCTACAAAAATATCGAACCAGAAGAAGAGTTTTTTGCATGGTCGGTACGGCTGGTTGACTTACATCAGCGGGCCGGCGGCGTCGAAGAAAGCTTGTTTGCGGAAGTGGTCACTGAACTCGTTCCATTACTTCCAGAGGAAGAGCGAGTCAAGCTGACGCGAGTAATCATGGCAAGACCGCAGGAGGGTCCGGAAGCTAAGCCAGTCATGGCTGCAATTCCCTTGATAGGGGCGGCGCAGCAACCACAACGACTTCTGCGAAGTAGTGAAGACGAGGCTTCAGACGTCAAAGTTGTACTGGCACCAGCTGTGCACCAACAGCCTGTGCCAGCGGGCACTGGCTCGGCGGCTTTTGCCGCACGAATGGCTGCTGGCGGTCGGTTGTGGGGTCTGCTTGCTGCTCAGACGCAGGGCGCCAAGCCATCGCCTGAAGCCGCTCAGGCAAAGCCTGAGGCGGAGATGGCAACTGTGTTGGCTAGGGAGGAGACGGCCGCAGAGCAGCCCGCAGATGCAGAGTCTCAGTCGCAGAGAGCCTGAGAATCCCCGAATATGTTGAATAGCTTTGTGATGTGTGTGCGTGCACCGACCAAGCAAAGCTTGGAAGCCTGAGGCATTAGGGGAAGCAGCCAGCTCTGCTTTGCCACATGCCATAGCCACCCCAGCCTCATCTGCCACCGTGGAGGACCTGACTGCTTCAACCATTCTGAACTGTATCCTGGTGAATTCTCAACAGGTCTAGCCTTGTCTAAGGTCATTTGAGGCAAGAAGGAATTCTGCAATGCCTCAATCGCGGCTGCATTGCTGTAAAATTGTTTGAGGGTTCACGGAGACGGGTCCAGCGCGAAGGAGCTCCAACGAATGTTGCAGAGTGCCCTGCTGCGGGTGGAGGCTGGGTTAGCAGACTCCATGGCTATGGTTGGCTATGTTGGGTTGCTGTTAAGGAACTTAATTCATAATTTAAATTCCTTAATAGCAACTCAGCATGGAGCCCTCCCTTGGTGCAGTCTTGGAGCTAGTCTGAAATCTGCACTTCTGCCGTCAAGTTCTTGGGGCTGGGTCGCTGATATGCAAATGTACACCAAACCACAAAGCGCGCGAATAAAGACCTGGGCTGGACTTGACCAGAAATGTTTGAGGTAGCCTGTCAAGAAGGTGGCGATGGGGTCAATAAATAGTAGTTTCCATTTCATTTTCCATTATCTCTCCAATATAACCCCAATGTCACCACAAGATAACCCCAATATAACCCCAATATCACCACAATATAACCCCAATATACTGAATTCTTCAGGCACTGGAGTCCAGACTTGCAGATCAGGAGAGAGACGTCGCCAAGGCGACCGCTTGCAGCAAAACAGATCCCTACGCTGCCAGATAAACGTGATAACAGGAGAGCTGTGTCTGGACATCGTAAGCACTTTTTTTGAGGTTGGAGGCTGTGTACAATGAATATTTCACAGGAATCAAAGAAGAGTTGTCTAGATTGTTGGTGTATGCAGTCGAACTCCGTAACCACGCCAGTTCAGGCAAAAGAAGACTGCGAAGCGTCGGAAGCAAAGTTTGCCCGGCCTGCCAGTGCGCTTTGGCCGTTAGGGGGCATGGCGCCAAGGCCATCTGATGATCTGCAGCACAACATGAGTGAGAGCAGCAGTGGCCCCAGAGCGCGCATTTGAGCTGGAGGGTTATAGTCCCCCTTAGGTAGACAGAACATGAGGTAATATACCCGAAGCCATCTTCTATCTACTTAAGGGGGACTGTAGGTCCATGAAGGGAGCCAGATGGTCCGGGAAAAGCCACATGAGGGGCGTGGAGAAGGGATGGGGCTGAGCAGGAAAACAAGTATACATGTTCTACACACATCCAGGTCTTAACAAAATGTTGGGTTTGTGCTGGTGGATTGCCACAAGAGGTGCAGCCATGATCAGCCACGCATTTGTAGAAGCTGCTTTTACACATCTGTAATTCTCACATGCTTGGAGAAGAGCTCAGTCAGGCGGCAACAGCTGGTTCACGCAGATTCTCGAACGTGCGGCTGTCAGCATGGGCTCATATAGTGCATAGTGTGTCATGAAGTGAAGGTTTTTGATGTTGGATTTGTTTGCTCGTGTTTTTGTTGGCATGTGTTTTGGTTCTGTGGTCCTCTGGTCCGGTGACCCCCTGGTCCTCTAGTCCGGAAGTCCTCTGTCTCCGGGTCCTTTGGCGTCCCATGGCACTACTGTAAATATCTGTGAATTACAGCATACGAACACTTCAAGTTACACCATTTGCGGCTCTTGCAATGAAAGACTGCGAACGCTGTAGGAACTTTTGAAAGGCTAACGAATGCTAAACATTACAGCCTCAGCAGCTCTTGAAAATTATGAAGACTGCAAATTGCAGCATTTGCGGATCTTGAGGGGCTACGTACTGGCATTCTAAAAATTACAGCATTTGCGGCTATTGCAAGCTACGAATATTGCAAGTTACCGCACGTGGGGTTCTTGAAAGCCTACGAATACTCTAGATTAGAGCATTTGTGGCCTTGGGAAAGACCTCCGAACACGGAAAGTGCAGCATTTGGGACTTTGATAGGGCTGCAAAAACAGCAAATGAACGCCCATCGAATGCTTGACAAATTTTAAACACATGACAGCATTTGCAAATCTTGAGAGTCTGCAGAAGATGTTAATTCCCGCATTGTAATGCAAGCAAGCTGCTCAGATATTGCGTCAAAAGCGTGCAAGGAGCTACTGCGCCCCCCAACCAACCCCCCCCCTCTATTTTGAATTGCGGGGGTACATTGGCATTTGCCATTACTTCCCGCCTCCAAGAACCCCCTTTGACGCCTCCAAATGATCATTTTGGCCACAGGCTTCGGCTCCAATACCCCCAGATCTAATGTTTCATAGTCCTTGTAGCCTCCAAGCATCACCCCCTGAAATGCTGCGGGATGATGATAGTAGACTGCTGAAGTACCCAAATGCTGCATGTCGTGGATGAGACGTGGATGAGATTCGCCACAGGCTTCAACCCCACACACCCCCAAATGCTATATGTACCAGCGCTCGAAGCCTTCAAGCACCCCCTGGGACACCGTGCGACCATGAAAACAGACTGCTAAGGTACCCAAATGCAAATAGTTGCTGGCCCGGCACCAGCACAAAAAAAGAAATCCCCAAATAATCCTTTGCCCCCATGAAGTCGAAGAGCTGTAATTGAGGCAAGGGGCCATGAAACGCTTGTGGGATAGTGAGAGTTCATAAAGCCGGACCCATCCATCAACAGATTTCCAAATCTTGCTGTGCTGTACTACAGGGGCCTAAAGAATTACCAATATCATTTTAAGGTCCATTTGAGGTACCATAGACCATAATCATATAAGGAATATGGAGCCATAATATTGGTAATCATTTAGGCCCCTATACACTATCATAATATAGTAGTTTCCATTTTCTCTTCCATTATCCTAATATAACCCCTATATAACCCTAGGGTAATTATTTAGGCCCCTATGTTACTCCTGTTGCGATCATCTGCCCGAAGCCTGCAAAGCTGAGCTGCTGCGGAACAAATCCAGCCATCACCAGCTGCAGCTACGCTTCACCTGTTCTGGTCTCAGATTCGGACAAAAGCTGCCGTGAGTTGAAAGTCACCCTGTCAGTTCTAGAAGGACACTTGGAGAGTCATGGGGACGTAGTAAGTAGGTTAATAATGAGGATAATTGGGGTTATTATATGGCTTATAGACTTATAGGGGTTAATAACCTACTTACTAACTCCGCATGACCCTCCAAGCATGACAGTCAGATGACAGGTAGGGATATCATGAGATGAGCATGGCATCTCCCGCACAAAAAACTACCCACCACTAGCTTTGCTCGACGGGTCCTTCAAATCTGAGACGGGTTTGGCCTTGCACCAGATTGCAGGCAAAACGTAAAACGTGCCCCTTGAGGCGTCGAGCTTTCAACTTCGAGCAATTCCGCCGCGCTAACTCAGCGAGGCCTGCGACAGTCCACGGTTAGAATTCATAATTAGAGATATCAAAGTTAATAAATAAATCAGCTTCTTGTGCGCCAGGCTGGACACAGAGCGCTTGCGTGTCATCGTTCCGCCCGACCACTTCCCTCTGCCGGGGCCTTGAGCCATCCAGCAAGATCCCGCAATGCTGGAGCGCCCTCAATAATTTACATGCAAGTGGGACACTGCTAGTGTCTAGAGAGGCCGCCCCCCGCAAAAGGCTAGAGGAATTGTTGACCTTGCAAGTGGGCAATGCCCGCAGACCGGATTGGGGCCAACAACTCACTCAGGTGGCCACTCACAAAGAGATAGTGGCAGTGGAGGCTGTGAGTCTCTATCATTCTCTACCTGTTATGGGGACAAGGCTGTCGCACATGAGCTGTTCATGGTATAAGCCTTGTAGTTTCCATTTTCTTTTCCGTAATCCCCATATAACCCTTATCTAATCCCTATATAAGCCCTACCATTATAGTTGTTTCCATTTCTCCATTATCCCTAAGCCCTAAACCCTAAACCCTAATACATGCTCGGCTGACAGGACAAGCAGCGAGCTTCCATTGCGGACAGCGCATGTCTGAATGCCAACTTATCGCTCAGAGTGAGTTGGACATCGTTTAGTTGAATCCGTAGGAACGAAATAAGATGATAACAGTAGTAATTAATGACAGTCAGGAATATTTGTGATAATAATAGTGGTAGTAACAATAGTAAGGTTTCATACTGGCCCCAAGGATCGAAATTGGGAGTGCCTTTTCGGGGGTCCTTGTAATTTATGAGGGTTAGAATATTTTTGGTCTAAATTGCGGTACACTTATTTTCAGGAGCTACCATATTGTGCAGTCATCGTTCATGAAGGCGCCTTAGTCTCCCTCTACTTACTGGGGGTTAGTAGGGAATGAAGGAACTGATTCCCTGCTAACCACCAGTAAGTCTAGTAGCAGACTCTAGCAGGCTTAAACCCTAAAACCCTCAAACCCTAAACCCTTAAACCCTAAATCCTTAAACCTAAACCCTAAATGACTTTTTCAAAAGCCGGCCGACCTTGCCAGAAAAGATGCAGGTGCTTGTCAGAAATAGCCATGGCTTTGTTGATATGAGCTACAGTCTCAACTCCTTAAAGAGGGGTTACATAGGGGATGAAAGAGGGGACTATTCTAGGGGTTACTGAGGGGGATGCTAGGAGTTCGGACTACAGTTCATATGACTGTTCTGAATTTGCTTCCTTCCTCTAAGATTCTAGTACCATCCCCCAACCCCCAAAATCAATAGCACTCCCGCCCCCGAATATTTGATGGTATTATGTTGGGAGCATGTAAATTGATGAGCTGTCCTGAACGCGAGTCTTTGGATGGACTGCCATCATCTTACTAGGGGATAGTAAGGAATCAGGAAATACATTATATAGGGATTCTATAGGGATAAGGGACAAGAAAAATGGAAACTACTACATTATAATAGGTTGTATGTATTGGGGATACAGGAGGGAATAAGGGAATATATCATATAAGGACTATAGGGATCATGTTCCCTTCTTCCCTACTAACCTCCGGGGAGTGATTCCTCGCTTGTTGCCTGTGTCGAAAAAGACTTTGTTGCAAGACACGCGCCGCCGACTTCCCGGTTCCCAGAAACATGTAACATACATAGCGTGGAGTTGAGCAGCCAGTTCAGCTGTTGAATTTGTAGCCTTTTGCAGAACAATGATAATGACAACATGTTGAATAACAATTGAGTTTTGTTCAGGAACATGATGCTTTCATTCTCCGCAACGAAGGAACAACTGCCTCTCGCCGGCGCGGAAGCAGTAGGTCCAGCTCGGTGGCTGGAAAGACTTGGGCCGTTGGGCTCATTCTGAAAGTTCATGATTTTTCTCAAAAGGAGGGGAGAGGGCTGATTGCGTTTCACAAGCCACCATGGCCAAAGGATTCAAACACATGCAACCTGACTTAATTCAACTTCAGAGCTCGCAGCCATGGGGGGAACCAAGAGCAAGCCGCAAAGTAAGGATGGCCAGGTCCCCAGAGTTACTGGGTAATTTGGGGGTTTTATAGGGATAGTGGAAAAGTAAATGGAAGCTACTATGTTATAATAAGGTATTATATATATATATAGCTTATAATATAGGGATAATGGAAATGGAAACTGTTATGTTTCGATAGGGTATTATAAATGAAGGTTGTATAGGGATAATGGAAAAGTAAATGGAAGCTACTATTTAGGGTTCAGGGTTTAGGGTTATCCTCAAGCCTTTGGGTCCATTTAGCTTAGAGATTACAGTGCCGCACCTAATATTTAGGGAAGGGAGCTACCATACCTCAAACCCCTAAACCGCCATGCTCTTCGTGTGTACAATAGCCTTTGGAGCAATCAACTTCTGCTTGCAGAAGCCCCAGTTAAGAATGAGAGCTGGGCTTTCCATGAATGCTGCAACCTCACGCTTTTTGTTTAGGGTTCCGTGGTTAAGGGTTTAGGGGTTATGGTTTAGGGGTACGGTGTAACTCACCCAGCACTTGCCCCTGCAAAGCTTAGGTTACAGTGATATCGGTGGTGAGGTCATCCGAATTTCGGTGCCGACCTCGGGGGCATACTCGAAGCAGATTGTCCTGTCCCGGAATCCATGGCGGAAAGGAATGCATTAATATAGATAAATGTATTAGTAATAATGGAAATAATAATAGTAATACTAATACTAGCACTAGTGACGATACTAGTAATGATACTATTAGCGTCCTGCAGCCTCAGTTGCCTGAACCGGCTAGTGCGTTTCCGCGCCACCTGCATCACGGTCGTGTTACATGTCAGGAGCACATGGGCAAGATCCCAGTGTCCGGGAGGCCAACGTCACTAGCTGCTGATGCAACGTAAAAGGTTTAGGGTTTGGGATATGCTTTTGAGCATGCCGTCAAGAATTGTTGAGAACATTGCATTTCATGTTACCTTTACGGAATTGGGCATTTGGAGTGATTGAGCCGTTTAAATATCCTCTTACGCGCGCTGCATTTCCACAAGCACAATGTGGTTTGGCCATGAGAAGCCAGGTATCACCGGAAACCGCGTCGGATCGCGGACGACTACCAGGCTTCCAGAAGCAAATGATCCAATCATTTGGTACAACAATTGCCGTCCAGAGGAACAGTGACGTGTACACAAGATCTAGCAAAAAGACATGAGGGAGACCACCCAGTATTCTCTGAAAAGTTCAACATGGCAAGTCAAGATGTTAGCTTAGCAAGTCTTTCCAAGCTCATGATTCTGTTAATGTCGGATGGCCCCTGCTGTCTGTTGCATCTTTTCTGCTTGAGATACACGACACTGTGCTTGGAAGCGGCTACAATGGAGCGCGGCCCCTAAAGCTGATCCTCCTTTTTACAACAGGTCAGGATCTTGCAATCTAGCGCAGGCTTGACTTTTAAGGTGTACTTGTCGATAGAGCAGGTTTCTCGGGACCATGGGTGCTTTTTTGCAGACTGCAGACAAAAGAGATCACATCATTCTGGCCGCAAACAGGGGTCCAAATGTTGAGTATAAAAGAAGATAAAAGAAGTGCATGGGAGACTAATGACTAATATGACAGAATGGCGAAACCTGTTTTGTCAGCGCAGTTTTTGCAGCATGTTGCAGCTGTGCAATGTGCTGAGGTTGTGAACATGGCTAGCAGTGTTGACTCCCTTGACAACAGCAAGTTTGCCGTGAAGGCAGCCTCAGACAGCTGGAGAAACAACCTGGAGCCGGCCTCTGATTCTAAACCCTAAATAGTATTTTGCAATTTATTTTCCATTATCCTTATATAACCCCAATATACTGTAGTAGTTTCCATTGTATTTTCCATTATCCTTACATAACCCTGACACAACCCTTTCTTTCATCCTGCCCCACGTTGCCATTCGTTGGCGCCTTGCGGACACCTGGGTTGGCTTTCTGCGCAAGGCCTTCAAGATTGGCAAGCTGAAGCGAGACAAGAAGGCTGCCGGACGCTGGGGGCTTTTACTTTTGACGACAGGTAACAAATTGTGTGTCTTTTTGTTGTTGATGCTTCGGCTGGGGTTGTGATTATGTGTTGTATGCATGGTTTTTGTTTTGTGTTTGATTTTGTCGGTCGGTCGGTCGGTCGTCTGGTCGATCGGTCAGTCTGGGCTGCGCAACCTTCCCGCTTTTATTTGAGGCCATCCATGCTTGCAATAGAAAGAAGCGTCATGTCATCACCATGTCTTGCAGTAAGGCAAACTATGGCAAACTTTTGCGGATCATTTAGTGTGCAATTGGGGAGGGCTGCGCCCTCCCCGCCCCCAACCCCCATGCTTTTCTCAACCTATCCATGCTTGTAATAATCAAGAGCATCATGTCGTCACCATGGGGCCTGCGCCCCCACCACCCCCCACCCCCATCCGCATTTTTAAGGCCATCCTGCTTGCAATAAACAGAAGCATCATGTCATCAGCATGTTTGCACCATGTTTGGAGTAAGGGAAGGTTTTGCGGATCATTTTGTTTGCAAATGTGGGCGGCTGCGACGCCCCAACCCCCCCCGCTTTTTTTTTGCCATCCAAGGAGGCATCATGTCATCACCATGTCTGCTGTAAGTGAGGCTTCTGCGCATCATTTTGTGTGCAAATGGGGGGGGGCTGAGCCCCAAACCCCACTGCTTTTGTAAGGCCATCCGTGCTTGCAATAAACCAGAAGTACCATGTCCTCACCATGTTTGCAGTAAGGGCAGCTTGTGGGGATCAAGTTGTTGGCAGCGCAGGCTACCCCCCCCGCCCAACCGCTTTTTCAAACCATCCATGCTTGCAAGAAAAAAAGCATCCTGTCATCACCCTGTCTGAAGCAAGCGAGGCTTATGCGGATCATTTTGTGTGCAAATTCGGGGGAGGGGCTGCGACCCCCCCCGCCCCCCCTCGACCCCCCGCTTTTGTGGCCATCTGTGCATGTAATAAAAAGAAGCATCATGTCATGACCATGTTTGCAGTAAGGGGAAAAAGTTGTGCGAATCATGATACATACATGGGTGGAGCTTACGAAGATCGCGACTCCGACCCAAACAATCCTTGCGACCGTTGCCACTTTTCAAATTCCAAGAGCATCCGAGGGTCCAAAAGAGACGACAGTTTCGAGGATCGTGGCACCAACCCCCACAATCCCGATGACTGTTGACACTTTTCAAAGTCCAAGAGGATCAGAGGGTCCACAAGCGACGACAGTTACAAGGATGGCGACCCGACCCCTACGATCCCTGCGACTGTTGACATGTTTCACAATCCAAAGGGGCCCGAAGGCCCGAAGGCCTAAAAGCAACGACAGTCATGCAGGATATCT